AGGATATTCGATGATCATCCCGGCATCTCCTTGCCTTTAGTGGTTAGTTTCCTTGGGCAATCATAGCTACCAGGCCAGCTTCGAACCTACCAGCATATTGTAAGAAGGTCTTCCGTGTAGTTTTGCGCTTACCATTTTATCCCTTTATAAGCCACAGAAAGATGATTTTGCATCCAAACTACCCAATTTAGACAAAGAATTCCACCATACATTATCATAATAGTCAAGAACGGTGAAACAGTTAAAATAATGAAATGACCATGAAAACAACTGTCATATTTTTTCAAAATTTATCTTTATTCCAAGATACACAAATCACTTTTTCTCTCAGAAGAGGGAGGTAAAGAAGGGCAAAGCAAATTTTTAATATCTGACAAAATAGGATGGTCCGTATTGGATAAATTTATCTCCCTGATAGCCGTGTTTACCAAAATTGTAGTTGTCGTAGTGAATGCCCAGATCACGCATATCCACAAACATTTGCACATGACGAACTGCAGGTATGAATGCCACAATGTTGCACTCTCGACAATTGGTCGGTTGAACCCCGTGGTTTGGAAAATCGGTCGGTCGCGGACGAAAGAACTGAAACCACACCTACAAACGCGAAGTGAATCGATAGATCACTTCTACAAGTAAGTAATTGTGGATAATTCACCCGTGGTTATCTTGATTTGAACGATGAACCCCCTCCCCTACTTACGTTGCATGTGTCACCCGTTTGATCGAATTTAAGGTCTCAAGTTCAAAGTTCTATTAGAAAACGATCCACCTGCATAGCTCATAAATTATCCATAGGAAGTAGTTGTCAGAAAGCTGAAAAATATCGATGAGTAAAAAAGCAGCCGAACTTTCATAGACAATAACGTTGTTTACAGCTGTATGCCAAAAACAATTAATTCTGTACTCCACACACCCTCTGTGCTTAAAGCCTATACCAACAAGGAACCAAGACTAAACACAGAACAAAGACCACATTTGGTCATTGCCTAGTGTTTCCAATCCAATAGGAGGAGTTTATCCAATCTAATCTTTTCACATCATTTTGTCTATTGAGTATACAAATGTTCGCGTAGGGGGCTGCTGCCATAGAGAGGTTGTCTGGGGGAATAAAGCAACGTGGAGAAAAGGCGGTTGTGGTGGGATTCTAACTGAGAACCTCCAGGTCACTGTTCGCATAACCTCAATCACTTGACTATCGTGATAACTATCTTGTCACAAAGTTCATTATCCTCGTGAAATAGAAACACTGAATAAACCGATCGCACCACCGTGATCGGTGAATCTAGGTTTGAAGTCCAAACCGGGGTGTCTCGGTGCTTTATGGGTGATTTTCTCTGCTGCTGCCTGTCGAGTAATGTGAGGGGTGCCGCTCACATCGAGCGGAGGATGCCATAGCGCGTATTGTGCTTCATTTCGGGCCGAAAAGGCTCGAGACTTGGGTTTGATGGGAACCTCAGGGTGGCATTGAGCAAATCCATTATCGTATGCTCATTGGGATCTCGTTAGTGAAAGTATGCCATAGTCTTTCCTTAAGTGGCATTTGTTGGAACACGACTGAGTTGAGTGGAACGCAAAACACGCTTGCGAAATTGGGTTGTGTTGCATCGTTTATATGTATAAACTGATAACAGCCCGATTAGCTGCCTGGTAATCAAAGGCTAGCATACTTCTATTCTACTTATGGTGCCCCGGACTCAATCCTCTGTTGGGACGATGGGTTTGCGCATTAGTGATATGTCTGATCAAGGGTAGGCTTTTCCAGATCGAAGTTATTTTGCGCTTTGCCCAACTAAACCCATCCCAAAAGTAAACCAAATCCTTCACTATTTCCGTCTATCAAACAAGTTTATAAAAGCTACCTTGAAGAACAGTTTAGGAACCTTGGCAGTTTTAGGGTGATGACTTCAGGAGAGAGAGTTCTCCTAGAAAAATTAAACCGCCGAAAACGAACACAGTACAAATATAAATGAAGCAAAATGATCTGGCGTCACATACTTGGAATATTCGATCAATCTGACTGTGGTGGAGAATGAAGAGCGGATCGTTCGCAGCGGTGGCAGCGCAACAAAAACTTCCGGCTACCATATTATGCACTTTGTTGTGCATAAAAAGAAAAGTACTGTTCAACCCAGGAGGTCCACAAAAACCTTCCAACGCTTGATGGAATCCGCGACACTTTTTCAGATCCTCTTCTGGCTCTGTAAGATAGAATCTGAAGAGCAAAGGAGAGAGGCGGTGGGTTTTGCTCCATCGTAGACGGACTCGATTATTTTCGAAATACAGGACACTTGAAATCAACGAGCTTTTGTACCTTCTACCAGGGATTTGTACTGATTAATCGACAATGTCTGTCAAACACGGCTGAACAAGTTGATCATATTTCTTCTATCATATCAGGTTAGGCGCAAAACAGTCTCCAATGGATCGAACAGCGATAACAATACCATTAAGGATGGGGCTATTAGGGAAGATGATCCAGTGCTTCTCGTTTGTTTATTTCCTTAAATTTTACTCGCAAGTATTATTCACTGAAGAGGATCATGACTGGAAAGAGAATGAAACCAGTCAGCCTGTTATCGAACAAAGGCATACAAAATTCTCGGCAGATAAACAAGATGCACAGATGACGCAAGGCCTCTCGTTTGAAGCCTTCATTCCATCACCACCGTTAGCGAAATTCCGTGGTATGTGGCTTCTGTTTCGTCGAGCCTATCTACCTGGGGTCTCGTCAATCCAAGAATCTGAGCTTAGGTTAGCGATTTTCAGGACCGAAAAGTGGGTTCCCGAGAATTTCGGTGTCACCTCTTTTACTTTTCACATTAAGGTATGGTATTAAAAAGCTTATAAGTTCCATCTGCACTCTGCGTACTACAAAATCCTACATGTGTGCTTTTTTGCGTGCGAATAATCATTCGATAAAACTCACGTTTTGCGACTGAGAGCGAACTGTAGTTCTTTGGTGGTTGGGAATGCGGTGGACCGATAGTGTCGATGGAGGGGTCTGAAGTTTGGCCAACTCGTATGACAGCCGTAACAATCAGAATCATCCTCTGGCGGAGAACAGTTCTCCGGCCACTTGGAGAACGGACTGCCCGGATGAATTAACCGAATCCCGTTCGCCCACGGTCCCGGTGCACCCACGATATCATTTCGGCATACGTCACACTCGGTACTGTCAACCCAATCCCAATACGGAATTGCAAAGTCATGCCAACCGTACATTTCCGATGCAATCTTGCGTAGGGCACGCTCCCACATCAGCATCAGATATCTATGCCAGGTAACAAAACCAACCACATTGTGATTATTGTTCATGGGCAAATGAGCGCTGCAAACTTTGGACGAACGGTACAATGTGTTTCGACTGGCATATTCATGCCAGTACGCAATCAAATACTGATAATTCACATCGAGAAATTTCGGTCTCCATAATGGATCCGAATGAACTCGATCTTTCTCATAAATAACCACATATTCGGAATTCATTTTAGTCGTTTGGGCCACAATATTCACAAACATCTCACGCTCTTTCGGAGTATAGGAGAGAATATTTCGACGAACAACTTTCTGACGTCGATTGCATAACGGACCTTCCCAACCGTACCAGCATTGATCACAAGCTACGCCGAAATAATTTCCTTCACACTTGCATAGGTATTTGAAAAAGCGTTTAGGCCAATGCATGCGATCATCTTGTAATCGATCCAACGGTAATGGTTCTAGTTGCACAAAGACCGGTTCGCAGGATCCGATTCCTTTGCCACCGCAAGGATGAAATCCACCTCTTGGAATGGGACAACAGACTCCACTACCCCCAGTCGCGGTGACATTACCCGCACAAGCTTTGGGTATAAGCGCGTGTATGCGTATGAGATACAAACAAAATACAAACAGACTGGGAACAAATCCAGTCTGTAACGAAAACATGCCGTATGATACGACCGCTCAGGATCAAGTCCCGGCTAATTGTGATTCAAGTCCGATTGGTTTTGCCAACGGGAATGACGAAAAAATCTATGAAATGCGATGTTTTTTGTTGTGAGAACTTGAGTTCACTTTCCACTACCACTGACACGTTCGCCTCTGACCGTATTGAACAGTGATCGATCAGCACGATCGATCGTCTCCTCTCGGTTCATTATGCCACGTACGCGTTTGCTGTCAGCTTTACTGATTGAAGCGAAAACCTCCGGCGTCAACAGCTGCACCAAATGCCGACAACCGTTTGAAGCGTTTCGAACCCAGTGCATACGTCCTGCATGCAGTGATGCCGAATACGAAGCCGTTACAAAATCGATCCATGGGTTCGAAAAGCACCCGGCTAAAACCGACGGAAACGGGCTGTGTTGCGTAGTATTGAAATGAAACAGACGAATGCGAAAATTGACCTGTATCAATGAATCACATCGTAGACTACCATTCACGTTTCCTTAAAACATCTTCCTCTATCCACCCAAATAACCAATAGGTAGACTGGACATACTCAGTGCTGAAACCTCTGGATTACAATTCCAGAGGAACGGAGTCCGCCTTCAGGTGAATGCAATACTATTAATATTTCTCAATGACCATAATTATTTTGTCCACCGCCGTTTCATTTCCGTATTACGGCAGACGCGACCAAGAATTTTTATAACCTCATAATCGCGTTGAGATAAGCAGTTAAATTTCTGCACAATTTTACACCTCCGTGCGTCGCCAGTTTTATGTGTATCCATATTTATTAGTGTCATTTTGACCAAATGAAATTTTTCGTGTCGCATCTCGCTGTAGGCGACAGCCTGGATACCCTCGGATTAAGCAGAGCTTAATGCTACTAGGCGCGTCCCCGGGTTGTGGATAGGGGGATGCCTTCACCGAAGAGGGTTAGCTGTGAATATGTTGTGGCATACTACAACAAATAGGCGAACAAACCGCGGCTGCATTACCAGGGTGTGGTGGATTTCAGACTGGTCACTTGGCTCTTGTTTAAAAGCCGCATAAGTGCAATGACGGTGTCGTGACAAAGGTCAATGTTACTGGCCTTTTGAAACTAAATTCATTGACCCCATCACTTCCGAGGCGAAGGATTACTTCCTCCTGCCTTACAGGTTGTAATTGGTTGTGCAAAGGTTAGAGGTGCACCCTCAAAATAGAAAACGCCGAGTGACCCTGGGGACGTTTGTCGTACCAAACTACAAAGGAACTCCATGATCATGTCTGGAGCCGCCTTACCCTTTCCAAGGAGCCAGCTGCAGTGGAGAAGAAAAAGGGGCGACAGCGGATAGCACCTAAAAAATTCAATCACCTCCCTATTGTCACCTGCGGCATCGTATGTGATAAAACAAAGACGTTTCGAACGGTCGCCAGGTGGAACCGGTGCAATGATGAAGGCCCATCCTAATAGAATAAGTGCATTATTGTGTCAAGAAGAACAACACAAAACCGACAAGATGATTATCGATCGCCTATGAACTCCATGAGTGGGAGTGTGCGTGCAAAACGGTCATACCTGAATGAGGTCTGGTAACGCTTCAATATAGATGCACGCCCACCACCACCAAATAAATAGCAAAGATATGATTCCGCTGACTTTTGCAAACTGTTTGTGCTGGATGGATGGGTGTGCACATACTACCATACTGTCTATAGCTGATCATCCGTACGTTCGTGCCAGCCATTTGCTGTACCGCGGGACCTACCTCCAATCTTGCTACCACGCCTCATTGTGACCAGCGGACGGTGGCGACTGGTTCACTCAAAGGGGCTCTGTTGCATAGAATCGAGAGGCGTATAACAGAACTACTTGTTATAGAGACAACTGAGGTGTTATGATAATGAAAGTAGTCGTAGTGAAGTTACGCACAGAATTCAGGACACGAACTAC